CCTGGGACTCTGTCCCATCAGCACTTGCTGTTCCTTTGTCTCTGTGAGCCCCTAGAACTAGATGTGGAGTTAGTTTTTCCTGCTGGACCACTCTCCCTTCCCTTATTAACCTCCTCTGTTCTTACTGGGGGAGGTGGCTCCTTTAGCGACAGTGTGTGAATGGGGCGTGCTAAGCCACACACCCACTCCTCCGTTTAGCTTTAGACCCAAGTTCTGTGCTTAAGATGGATATTTTAGCAACTACCAACTGTTCACCCTATATCCAGCTCCCTTCAGCAACCACCCACAATTTGATCCCTGTCTTCACATGCTGAGTTGTTTATTAACAGCAGTAAGGCTGAGGGAAATTCTGCCTGGAGCTGGAAAAATAATGTATTCCTAGGGAACATAGCTGTGGACAGTAACTTTGGTTTACTGTACAATTATTGAAGTCAAATACCTGGGACTTCATAATAAAGTAATTAATTACAAATTCTATTCACGCTGTATCTAATGTGTCATCAGCTTTAACAAATGGTAATTTATCAGGCTCTTAGAATGAGGCTGCAAGGAGGAGGGAGCAGCCTTGTTTTTATGGACAAAGGATTAGACCTCTTCCAAGTCATGTGACTCGCATGAAGTCAGGTAGCTGGTTGAGAGCAGACAGTTCAAGCAGGGGTCAGTCTGGCTACAAAGTGATCACTCTGCCCTGCTGCCCACTCATTATCCATCCCTGGCTGAGCACTCCCCCCCAAAAAATGTTGCTAGTTTTTGAAAATGAGTAGGAGAGGAGTCTGAACAATGTGGCTGAGTGTCTGTGGTGCTGCCCAGTTGACATCCCTGTCACCCCCGCAGTGAGTAGATAGCACTTCTAAAAGTTAAGTCCTCAGGAGTGACAGAACCCCAGCTGCTCTGCTTGTGGTTTATGTTGCTTCTAGAATGATCACAGGTTTTTCATAAACATATTTGATCATAATGAAAATAAAGGCAACTTTTTTTCTGGGTTAAAAATTAATGCATGTTTACTGTAGGAAATGCAAATGCATACAAAAATGGCAAAGATCTCCAAAGTACCAGTTGCTGTCTAAGAAGGTGGCTGGATCTCAGTCTGCTTTGTAGTTCACCAGGTGTGGGGTCTTGGTGTAATCAGTTCTGTTGTTCTTTTTTTGTTTGTTTGTTTGTTTTCCAGACAGGGTTTCTCTGTGTAGCCCTGGCTACACACTCTGTAGACCAGGCTAGCCTTGCACTCTTGAACTCAGAAATCCGCCTGCCTCTGCCTCCCAAGTGCTGGGATTAAAGGTGTGCACCACCACCACCTGGCCAAGTTCTGTTGTTCTTGTCTGTGAAGTTGGCCATAGCCCACATCATTGGGTTTTGCTAAGATAAGCATTAACAGCCAGAAGCCTCCAAGAAGTGACCCACAGGTGGTTAATATTTTAATGACGAGCTCCTGGCCTTCCTTTCTGAGCCTGCGTATATATGTGCTAACCTACATACTACTGTGTCTATATTAATGAAAATAAGATATTTTAAAAACCAGCTGTAGCTTTTTATTAAGTAATGTATCTTGAACACCTATCCTTACATCTAAATAGCTTCCACCATTGCCTGATAGGGGTTTGCAATCACTGCAGCGCTCTCTCTCTCTCTCTCTCTCTCTCTCTCTGTGTGTGTCTGTGTCTGTGTCTGTGTCTGTGTCTGTGTCTGTGTCTGTGTCTGTGTTGGGGAGAGGGAGGATGAGGGCAGCAGGCGTAGACTTCTAGTCTTCTGCTAACATAAAGCATTTTAAAACAAATTTGTTAACATTGTTGTTTTGGGTGATAGAGGCTCTTCTCCTTTCCAGCACCTTCTTAACCCTCCCTCCTCTTGTGAGGATGAAGAAGGATTCCTTTTGGAGCTCAGAGCCTGCCTTGTTTCAGTGTGGTGGTCATGTGAATTCAGATGCCAGCCTCAGTAGGGGAGCTCAGAGCATAGCTCTTTTTGAAGTCAGAGAAACAGAGCTCCTGCATTTGATCTGATCTCTGGGTTCACAGGAAGTCACCAACCAGAGCATCCTCTGCTTCTTGCTCTCAAAGAAGCTGTCATTTAAAGGTCTCAGAGGTAAAGCTGTACTCCTTTCTTGCTAGGTTGGACCACCATGTTCCACCCTTCAGGGAGGTAGGCTGAAGTCGCTGTCCTTGCCATTTTAGTTTTGGGATATACCCTACACCCTTTTTCTCTTACTGCAGTCAGCCAGTCAGAAACCTCTCTTAAACCCCTCCCCCACTAGCAAACCAATAAGCCACATTTGGAAACCTTGCATGAGCCCAACCCTCAACACCACCTTCAGGTGCACTGTTTGTACAGATTCAAGGGATGTACCTGACTGTTGAGTCTAACCTCCAGAAGGCAAACCAATGATGTAGAGTGTGACTGAGGACAGAAGTTTCATGTGGAATTCATCTCTGAGAAGGTTCACGACTATAAGAATATTCCTTTCTTCCTTTGAAACTTGGCAGCGTAGTTGGTCCACCTTCAAAGGAACCACCTGCCCTGCATGATGCTGTTGACTAAATTCAGACACAACAGCTTCCCTTAGGAAATTTAAGGGAAGGGCTCAATCTTTACACTTAAGGAGTGAGTATATCATCACCATAGAGAAAGATCTGGGACACTGCTGGGGTGTTATATCTGCCCAAATCATAGAGGAAACACTGTATCCTCAAGAGGAACAATGCATGTATTTTACAGCAGCGAAGCTCAGAGCACTAACAACTCCTTGGTGTTTTCCTAAGTGCTTTTTAGTTTCCTTCTGATGCCCTCCCTGTGAGAAAAGTTAAGTAACACTATCCTCTTTCCACTGATGAGACTGAACCTATGAGAGGCTAGTTGACTTTCCTTGGGCCCTCCGGACCCAGGGGAGGGATCTCCTCGATGCATAACTCCTGCTCTTCATGCCAAGGAAGGCTGGGTAGAGGAGGGAGAGCTCCTTGCTAAGGACGGGGCGTCCTTGCTCACAATACCTTTCTTTGCTCTTTATGTTTTAGCATTTTCTTTTTTTGAGACACGATCTCTCTCCTGTAGCACAGCTGCCCTCTGACTCACTGTTTGAGATTCTGATTCTCTTGCCTCCACCTCCTGAGCACTGAGATCACAGTTACACATGGGCACATCTGGTTCTGTGCTGTGCCTGGGACTCTTAAATCAGAGTTTGTATACTAGGCAAGTACCCTGTCAAGATGTTCCTTCGATGCATCTCCTGCCACTACTGCCTCCTCCCCTTCTTCCCAGGCAAGGGATCAAGTCTACAGCCTTATTCTTGCAGTCCTCTCTGGGAATTGCTTAGACAGTGGTGTCCTTCAAACCACAGACCAAGATCCTTGACCTGGATGTGCTTTTCCTTCCTTGAGCTAAGCTGCAAGCATGGCGAATGGCAGAAACTAATTATTTTTGGCTCAATTTCCCAGTGTTGACACGACACGCTTTGCATTTGAGTTGCAAAACAGACATCCACAGAGGGCTTTAGAATCTGATGCTGTTGGGGCTTGCTTTTTTTTTTTTTTTTTTTTTTTTTTGTAGGAGGATTACCAGTAGTCCTTGATACATGTTCCTTTTCAAGTTTGTCTATAACTGACATACCACACTGAATACAGTTCAGACTATGAATGTGGTTTGTAACACAGCAGGCCCTAGCATCCGGCTCGTGCTTCCAACTAGCCTGCCACAGTTTTGATCGTCTTGGCTTTCTTCTAAAGATACAGCAGAACCTTGCCTCAAAGTGAGGCTGAGTATGCCTTGGAAGACAGTAGTCTTAGATAAGAAGCTACTATATTGATGTTTGTTATTCTCATGTACAGAGTGTACTTTCCCTCCAGCTCCATAAAGGGCCTCTGCTAATTAGCTAAATGCTTGTAAGAATGTTTCAAGCTTACGGAGGGCAGGCTTTCCAAAATGGAGGAAACAAAGGATAGCAAAACTGGCTTCCTGTTTACACTAGAAGTTTCATGGACTAGAGAGAATTGTTATTAGGGCCTTTCTCTTTCTCTCTCTCCTTTCTTCCTTCCTTCCTTCCTTCCTTCCTTCCTTCCTTCCTTCCTTCCTTCCTTCCTTCCTTCCTTCCTTCCTTCTTTCTTTCTTTGCCTTAAGTTGGTTTTTTCTGTTTTTTGTTTTTGTTTTCAGCCATAGAAGTGGTTTTTCCTCTTCTGGGGACAGTGTTTAGAGGTATCCAGAGTGGCTTAGGGTTTAACATGCCATGATAGCCTTTTCAACTCCCAAGTCACTGGCAAGAGAATTGCTCATGTTTTGTACCAAGGAGGTTGAAAACATCAAACCCCACATTCAGTGTGTGGTCATGTGGACACGTGTGGCCAGGTGGACATGGCCTGTGCGGTTCCACGTGTGCTAAACGTGTCAGTGGCAAGCACAGAGTCAGGAAGGTAAATAAACATGAAAGGTTTTTAAACAGTTGAAAGGAAAATGTCATTGTCGTAGAATCCCAGCCACTCAGGAGACAGATGCAGAAGACAGAAAGTTCAAGATCTATCTGGACTACAGAATGAGTTCAAGGCCATCTTGGGTAACTTAGCAAGACCTTGTTCCAAAATAATAACTAAGTAGCCGGAGATTAACTCAGTGGTAGAGTGCTTTCCTTCCTAGGTTCAATCCCCCTGCACTGTGGATTAAAGTAAAAATGAAACAAACAAACAAAACCAATGTTTATGTCAATGTTAAGTCATAAATGCACACTCAGAAATTTACTTCATAGACTGAACTGATTTACTTTTGGTCCCATGAGTGTTGGCATGTGGCCATTGTTCCTCCCCTACCCAAGTGCCCTATTTACACAGTCGTTTATGCACGGTGTGCATGTGGTAGAGAGTGAGTTGACTTGCTGTTGGCACTTGCCACTCTGTGTTTTATTGGATGGAGAAATCAAGACCACATGTAGTAAAAACTTGAATCCAGGTTGACAGAACCTTTCCTTCTCTGTGTTTTGTCTGAGCAGGGACTCTTGCTTACCTCCGTTGCCCTTCTCTTGCTGGATGGAACAGGAAGATAATCAGGGTGTGTGTGAAGACCAGACTTCTGAAGACAGAGGCATGGGTTCGGACTTTGAGAACTCTGAGGACCAGGACAGAGAAGGGGACCCAGAAGAAAGAGGAGTGGGCTCTAATCCACAGGGCACAGAAGAGAGGGGCCACCTGGAGCAAGAGGTGGACTCCAACCCACCGGGCGATGACCTAAGAGGGAACTCACAAGAGAGGGACGTAGTGTCCACTGTCTGTTCAGGTGAGAAGACTGAGTATCCTCTGAGGTTGCAGGACTCACATTTATTTACATTGGATTCTACTGGCATACAACCAGGGCCAGCGTCCTGGGGACCTAGAGGTGGGCTCTCTAGAGGCCATCGAGCAGGATTCTCAACTGACTTGGCTCTCCTAATGTTGGTGCCGTGAGTATCCATTCCTTTCATACCATCCAGCACTGAGGCCACACTGGTAAGTATGGGTGCTGCTCCTTGCTACAGATGGTCACTCGTAAAAACACTACAGTGAAAGCACAGGCAATACTGGGGCCTATCTCACAGATGTTGGGGGAATAACATGGTGCGTCGGATTTAAACAGTGACTTAGGAGCCTAGAGAGTGGTTAAGAGTGCTTACTACTCTTGCAGAAGACCCGAGTTCGTTCTAAGCACCCATATCATTCTGTTTATAACTACCTGGAATCAGTTCCATGGGATCCAGTGTCCTCATCTCTGCAGGTACCTGCATGCACTTGGTACACACAAAGTCACGTTCATACATAATAGATGAATATATATATATTTATATATATATACATACATATATGATTCAAAGAGTGACTTAGCACAGTGCTGGATGAAGTACATTGATATTTTTAGTTAAATCATCATTTTTTTCTCTAGATATGCAAATTTGGTGGTTAAGTGACCTACCTGTGTTCGTGAGGCTGATTACCCACGTGCCCAAGTTTCCTGGTTACCACCCTTGCTATTTCTGACCTGAAAGCAAATGCTGGGTCTCTAGCTACTTCCTTGTTTCTGTCCTTGGACACTAGTTGCTTTGTCCTGTTCAGGAAATACAGCAGGGACAGAAAAGAGCTGAAATACTGTCTGGCCAGGACTGTGTGTTTACATTCCTTTCTCTATGACAGAGTCCCAGACTCCCTGTTCCTCTCCTCCACAGTACACACAAGCCCTCTGCTTGAGGAGGAAGCAACCATAGACTGACAGGTCTATATCTTCTACCAGTTAACTTGCTCTTACTGGTTCTGGGCTGCTTGTCATCCCTTACTCATCCGTCCTTCACCAATGCTGAGTTCAGTTTGCTCATAGGTACGTGCAACCTGCTACTGAGGACAGCAGTGAATGCTCCAACCCAACATTGTAAATGTAATTAAAACCTGAGGTTGTGTGTCTGTGTGTGCATGTGTGCATGTGTGGGTTGTTTTGTGTGTCAAAGCTCGTCCTTTGCCATTATTCCTTAGGAGCCATCTAACTTGAATTCTGAGATAGGGTCTCTTTGGCCTAGAGCTCACTGAGGTAGGCTAGGTTGGCTGGCCAGCAAGCCCCAGGCTGTCTCTGCCTCCCCAAGAATTAAAAACACTAGCTACACCACTTGGCTTTTTAACCCAACAGAATATTTTTATTGATTATTTTGGAATGTCACATCATGGATCCATCACAGTCACTTCCTAGTTTGTTTCCCTACCCTTGTGACCTCTCCCACCCCCACCCCCACTGAACAAAAGGTGGAGAAAAGAAGAGAGGTGTCCATTCAGTAGGTTCTGGGTATCAGAATTAGATCATAATGCATGTACGTCAGTGTAGCTCAGTGGGTCTCGACCTGTGGGTCCAGATCCCTTTGGGGTGTCTAACAACCCTTTCACAGGGGTTGCCTGAGATCCTTGAAAAACACAGATATTTACATTACAATTCATAACAGTAGCAAAATTACAGTTATGAAATAGCAAGAGAAATAATTTTTATGGTTGGAGGTCACCACAGCATGAGGAATTGTATTAAAGAGTAGCAGCGTCAGGAAGGTTGAGAGCCACTGCTCTAGAGAGGAGCGCTCCTGATTTTTTTTTTTTCATAAGACTTGACTGCTTCTTGAGCACACACTTTGTAGATGACAACTCAGTGTTGCAATGTCAAAGGTTGGGTGGGCATGCTCTCAAATTGTTCCCAGACTGAGCAAATGGTTTTCTTTTTTTTCTTTTTCTTTCTTTCTTTTTTTTTTGTTTTGTTTTAGACCTGATGAGTCCTACTGGTCTCTTACTTTCCCTGACTAACGTGACTTGTGTTTTGAGGCTCTAGCTTTAGAAAGTATGGTTAAGGAAAAAAAATATCCCTCTCCCCTTTCCTTCTGGAGACATATTCCTATCTGGTACAGATCTTGCCATTTGCAGGCTTCAGGCGATTCAGCTGAGCAGAGCCTGGGGTGTCTAGTTGGTGGGGTCTAAGAGTGTCAGTGGGGCAGAGTGCACCCTCCTTTAGTCTTATTGGGAGGAAACTGGTGGGGAAGAGGCTGGAGTAAAAGGTAGGGGTAAGGAGGCTGGGGGAGGGGCGTCACTGCTTTGGCTCACACTCCTTGTAGGGCTGTTCCCCTAGCGTTACCTTCGCACGTCAGGTCTAGATGACCCCATTGCCAACTTGTCTGTTGCAGAGGGGCTGCTGAGTGAGGAAGAAGGGGCTATCCTCCGTGAGGAAGAGGACGACCAGCCTGGTGTGGCTGACATGGCGCTGTTCCCAGGACTGTCAGAATCTGACAGCATATCCCGGAGTCCCCGAGGAGAGGAGGACGAGGAGGAGGAGGAAGACGAAGAGGAGGAAAGCGCTGGGGAGAACCACTTGATAGCCGAGGAAGAGCCATTGCCTACTCCAATGCTTCCCTGGAGGCGTCACCTCTCCCTGGGCGGTCGACACCGGGGTGACAAGCCTGCTCGTCGCCATTTCCACCGGCTCCATCACCCCATGGCCGTGGACCTCGGGGAACTCGACAGCTTGATGGCCAGCATCATGGACGCGCCTACCATCTGTCCGGACTGCGGGGAGAGCTTTAGCCCGGGCGCCGCATTCCTGCAGCACCAGCGCATTCACCGCCTGGCGGAGGCCGCGGCCGTGGCCAGCCTGGAGCCCTTCGGTTTGGCTGGAGAGTGCGGAGAGGTGGTGGGGATGATGGGCGTGGGCATGGGCGTGACCGGCGGCTTCGGGGCGGGGCCCACGCTGGCCCGGCCCCCTCGCGAGAAGCCCTTCCGCTGCGGGGAGTGCGGCAAAGGCTTCAGCCGCAACACCTACCTGACTAACCACCTGCGGCTGCACACGGGCGAGCGGCCCAACTTGTGCGCCGACTGCGGCAAGAGCTTCAGCTGGCGCGCCGACCTGCTCAAGCACCGGCGCCTGCACACGGGCGAGAAGCCCTACCCGTGCCCGGAGTGCGGCGAAGCCTTCAGCCTCAGCTCGCACTTGCTCAGCCACCGGCGTGCGCACGCGGCGGCGGGCGGCGCGGGCTCCGCGGCGGCGGCGGCGGCGCTGCGGCCCTTCGCGTGCGGGGAGTGCGGCAAGGGTTTCGTGCGCCGCTCGCATCTGGCCAACCACCAGCGCATCCACACCGGCGAGAAGCCGCATGGCTGCGGCGAGTGCGGCAAGCGCTTCAGCTGGCGCTCGGACCTGGTGAAGCACCAGCGCGTGCACACGGGCGAGAAGCCTTACATGTGCTCCGAGTGCGGCGAGACCTTCAGCGTGAGCTCGCACCTCTTCACGCACAAGCGCACGCACTCGGGCGAGCGGCCCTACGTGTGCCGCGAGTGCGGCAAGGGCTTCGGCCGCAACTCGCACCTCGTCAACCACCTGCGCGTGCACACCGGCGAGAAGCCCTTCGGCTGCAGCCAGTGCGAGAAGCGCTTCAGCGACTTCTCCACGCTCACGCAGCACCAGCGCACGCACACCGGCGAGAAGCCCTACACATGCTTCGAGTGCGGCAAGAGCTTCATCCAGAGCTCCCACCTCATCCGCCACCGGCGCATCCACACCGGCAACAAGCCTCACAAGTGCGCGGGCTGCGGCAAGGGCTTCCGCTACAAGACGCACCTTGCGCAGCACCAGAAGTTGCACTTGTGCTAGGGCGGGGATCCGATCTGGCTACTGATCTGTAGATGTTGGGGGAAGGGGCAGGAGGGACAGCCTGAGAGTGTCTGAGGAAGCCTTTTTGTGTTTGGCACCCCCCCCCCCAGGGGACGGTTAATGAGTTGTTATTTCGAGGTGCCTACCTCCACTATCGAAGTAACTCTTAGAAGATGTGCTTGACTTGGTAGTTTACTTAAATACACCCTGCAAAGAGTGTGGACCTTGGATGAGCAGACGTTTGAAGGAACCCGAGGAAAGGTGTTTGGGGCTATGTAGAGAGGGTTGGGCTGCCGCGTTTGTGAGAACCAGGATGGGTAGCGTAAGCCTATGTTTGGCTATGGTAGGGTAAGCCTGTGTTTGCCCTGACACCTCTCACATCAGCTCTAGTACGACCCTTCTCATCCGTATAGAAGAGGTTATTTAGTATCCACTTCCCTTTCTATGGGCCCCAGCTGCTATTTTGAGACTTCCAGGGGAAATTGAACAGAAAAACTGCACACTTACTTCAAAGGGCAAACTTTGAGTTTAGAAATTCACATAAATTGATTCTCAGATCTTAGGAAGCCCTGCACCTGTTTCTTCGCTAATTCTTGAAACTATTCAAGCTTCATGGTCAGGGGTACCTAGGAACGGCACCCCAACCGCTAGTAAGTCAGGACCTGCCTGCCAGGTCTCAGTTCAACTTGGAGGGTAGGTTTCAAAAGAAAGGTAGACTGTCAACAGTTGCCTCAGAAACCTGTTCACAAAAGTCAACCAGCTAGCTCAAGTTTTGTTGGCCTGAGTTCACAGGATGGGGTGCCTTGATTTGCGTGTGTGTGCCCTGACCCCAGGAACCCCAACTTATGCACAAATTAATGAGATTTGACTCAAACAGGAGTTTCTGTCCTGTCCATCCCCTGCCCCCCCTACCCCCCCTTTGATAAGAGACACGGATGTACACGTGGAGGGCACAGTCAGGGAGAGGTGGAAACGCAAAATTGCCAAATAGCACAAACAGTGAATGTTTTCTAGTTATACAAGATGCCAAAATAGCACTTTTGTACTTAACAGAGTGCTTTATGCTTTTTAATGACTGTTAGTGTTTCTCACATGCTTGTGAGATAAATCAGTATTGCAAACTGTGATTTGGGAAAAGTCTAGGGTAGGAGTGTGGCAAGCCTTTCAAAGAAAGGCCGAGAACCGTGAATGGCCGAGCCTGACCTTTTGTGTTCTCAAGCTCAGTTCCTAAGATGACTTACGTGCTCTGATTTATATAATAAAGCAAGAAGACTGAGCATTCTTACACTTGATGGAAAAATTAAAGCCTAGAAGGACCAAAGATGTCCTTATTGACAAAGCTGGCCTTTGTCACCTGATTCCAGTGTTCTCACTGTCTTCTATTTCTAGTAGGGAGCTGTAGTCAAATGACTTGTATAGATTTTGGTTACCTACCCTGAAAACCCCTCCCCTGGACTAACCTTTAGAAGTCAGCGTTGTGGCAGACAGTAAAGTTTTCTTCACTAACGTTTATTACCCTAGATTGTTCATGGGAATCGTGAACTGTTGGACACAGTTGAAGGTGGGGTGGAGAAACTATACAATTGTTTTTACAATTTTGGCCAAGTTTCTGTGAATGTTAGCAATTTATACTTGATTATTTGTATTTTAGTAATGACTTCTCTGGGGACTCTAGGGAAGCATTTTTGTTTTTTTGTTTTTTGTTTTCATTCTAAGAACACTAAAAGAAAAATCTGGAGAACATCTGGGCTTTTGTATATTACCTGCTGATCTTGTCCACTTAATCTGTTTACTGTTGTTCACAGATGAAGATAGATGCTCACACTAGGGATAGTTTTGAAGAACACTAATTCTCTTCCGGTTTTCTTTAGCGAGACTTACACATGCAAAGTCTGTGCCCCTTATTTATTCTGACTCTTGCTGTCTGGATGCCCAGTGTATGCGACCCACTAAAACAACACAGCCAATTTGTGGGCAATCTTAATATTCATATTCTCATATATTCATATTCTCTCTCTCTCTCTCTCTCTCTCTCTCTCTCTCAGGTTTCTTTATATAGCTCTGGCTGTCCTGGAACTCAATATGTAGACCAGGCTGTCCTTGAACTCACAGAGCTCCACCTGCCTCTGGAGTGCTGGGATTACAGGCAGCCCCATCACAACCAGGTTTTTTTTCCCCTCACATCTACCTCTTTCCTGTTTTAAGTTCTCTCAAGTGTGTGCCAATGAAATCTAATCCGACTTTTGATTCTTCATATATTTTTAGCCACTTTATGGGCTTTTTGTCTTGTTTTGCCCTTTTGCTGCCATTATTACACACAGCATAGCCATTATCAAATGTGATTCAGGACAGCAGCTTTAGACAGTGGGTTTGATAACGTGAAGTAATGACAATAGAAACCCGTGGACTTCTCTCTCTTGTTCATTCTATTGCTGTGGATAAGAGAATCAGCTACTGTGTTATTCCTTGTCTGAGCCAAACCCCTCAGCAGAAGAAACTGTCCAGCCACCAATGCGTGCTCGAACAGTGTATTTAAAATGTGATTCTATTTCTCTTCTTCAGGGAACATGCCTGAATTACATGAAATTCCATGCGCCCAGGTGTTTATTTCTTGTCTTCCGTCTTAGAAGAATAGCGTTTCTTCAGGATACTCTTGTGACTGTGGTTCATGCTTGAAATGTTAGATTCCATGATCCAACTTGTTACTGAGTTGGAGGCATTTGTACTATTTATTTCCTGGGGAATTTGGTTAAAAGCCAGCTTCTTTAGCTGTCTTTAATAAGCAAAACTTGAAGAAGTTTATGTTCTGGGGCAGAAGGAGAAGGTGGGCAGTTAACCCTTTGAGCTATGTGGTCTCTTTTACAGTTTAGAGATTGTACATATATGTGAAAAGTAAAAAAAAAATTATAAAAAGACCGATGTTCATAGACAATCTGAACTTGTGTCTGAGGTTTGTGCACACTTTCCATTTTAGTGCTGGTTTACATCTGTTAAAGTAGTAAGTAATTTAATGATCCAGAGAGTTCCTGATTCTGTGAGTATGCTTGTGTATATGAGAACTGCCCTGTTTCCAGGTTGTTTTATTTAATGATGGTACCTTGGACAGCATCCTGGTGTTCAGCAACCAATATGGGCTATTTGTCATTAAATCCCTACCAAACACAGTGAGCTGGCCTTTTCCTCATCAATCATTAATCAAAAAGATGCCTCACAGACTTGCCCACTGGCCAATCTTCTACAGGCATTTTCTCAAAGTTCCCTTTTCCAGAGTGTCTGGGAAAGCTGTCTACCTTGTGTCAAATAGAACCTAACCAGCACAATTGATTTCTTGCACACGAATGCATTTAAAACAGTGTTTTCCTCCTTGTTTGTTTCCAAGAATGTGTTAATGTCACAATATAAAACTGTAGAATTTTAAAGACTTTAAGAAATGCAAACATTTTGAAAATTTCCAGCTTCTTAAAATCTCCAAAGCCTCTCAACTGTGGGCCCCTGAAAAAAAAAAAAAAAAAAACAAGGCACACTCTTTTTCCAATTGGGAGAGCCCAGGGCATGCTTTCAATTAGATTAAGGCAAATTCAAAACCCACCAGTATTGGATGTCTGGCACTCACTCATGATCTGCTCTCCCAAGGCCTTCTGCATACTTGCATCCACTGAAGTTGCTGACTAATGCATTAGAACATTAGGTAGATCCCAGATCACCCTGGGACTGGTTCGTGGCTGAGTTTTAAATAGTTTGCACATTCTTAGCAGTGACTCCACGAAGTACAGTGAGGCTAAAGTGCCTTTGGACTACTGGCAATGTTTTTGTGTTCAACACTGGCCTTCATCCCCAAAGAATCATCTTCACTCTTATCAGTGTGGGAATGGTGGTGACCGGTTTGGTGAAAGGTTCAGGAAAACTTAGTTACTGAGAGGGGAAGAGACTATAATATGTACCCCTAAATCCCATAACAAAGTTTCCTTTGCTTCAGTTTACAAGAATGTTTATTAATGATGGCTGATAACACCCAAGGGAACTCACTAGCTAGACTAAACTTTTGCTGAAATGTCCTAGCTGGTCCGGTCCTAGCCACATGAAATCACCAACTATGTTCCTGGGGTAGAGATCTTCAAGGCAGAAATGGAATTATGATAATTTATCACCTTATCTTTTTACATTCACAGTCACCTTGTTTGGACAACCCAGGGGTCTTTCCCTACTCAGCAGTGCCATGGAAAGGCAAAGAGGAAGCAAAGCTGGACTCATCTTGGAGTGTTAACCAGAGCAGCTGCTGGTCCCACAAGCATCTCAAGAAAAGGAAATCAAACCCAGAGCTTTAGCATAAGTAATCCTAGTAAAGGGTGACCCTGAATGACTTTGAATGACCTTGAACTTCTAATCCTTCTGGCCTCTCACTCTCGAGTGCTGGGATTAGAGAAATTGTATTTTCACACAGTGATAGTACTATCACCACAGGTTTTAAACTGTGCTGCTGACCAAGCCCAGGGCTTCACATAGGCTAAGCTAGCACTGTGCCAACTGAGCCTCTCAGTGGAGGGCAGCAATACCAGCTAGGTATGGTGGCATATACTTGTAATCCCAGCACTCAGGAGACTAGTACGAGAAGATAATGAATTTGAGGCCAGCCTCAATAACAGTTTGGAGACTGAAAAACAAACCCAGGAAATTGATGTATTGTTTCCTGGGATCAGGTAGGAGTTGCCCAGTGCTGATGGGGCAGCCTCTACATAATCTAGACCTACTTTGTCTACACACTATGGGATCTTCAAGTTTGATGAGTTGAGGCTAGGCATGCTTTTAACCATGGAGAGATTTTTGTGATTTCATTATCTAAATCTGGATATCAGTTTATTGGGGTGAGCAGTTTTTTTTTTTCCAGCAAGTAGCAGGTATCTTGAGCAAGACTTATTTGACATTGCTAAGAATCTGTTTGACAAGCAGACACCACCATTATTGGCTTTCCCCTTTAGTGACTATCAAGGCTTCAGCCTCACCTGGAAAACTCCAGAACTCAATGTTGGAATGATAGGAGGCCCCGCTGACCTGGTCAGTGCTGCCACTGAGGAGGCTGCATATCTGACGGTGGAGTGGCTCTCATCAGCTCCTCCTTGCTTCAGGCCCTTCATAGTCTGTGGAGGAGTATGATGGCCCTTTACATATAGGTATATCAATGAGGCTGGGGAAGAAGTGGGAAACTATATTCTCACATCCCATCACCTTCATGCAGCACACCAATCTACAGACTGCTGCCAGAAACCCTGAGCTACAGAAGTTTTGAAGAGGCAGACTGTGTAAACCATCTTTTGGTCACAGAGTGCCTTGGAGGTGTTCAGGAATTAGCTGAGGGCTGGCAAAGTCAGCTTTCTAGGTGGGATCAGAGTTCGCTGTGGAGAGTCCCACCAGACAGATTCTGAAGCACTTCCCAGCATGCTGGTCATTCCAGTTCAGTGTCCCTTGGTTTTCTTTCCTATCCTACAACCTTATTCTGGGATAGATTTAAAAAAATACCTTTGTATGTATACGTTACCAGTGCAGTGGTACCCTCCCAGAACCCACAGACCAGGAAGTTGACAGGCAAGTTAGTGAGTAACCACATTGTCCAGTGAGAGGTGCACTGCAGAGGGAAGCTTCATCCCTACTTGGGGCCTGAAGACTTTCTGGGGGAAAAGGGAGCCCAAGCAGAGGGGATGACATAGGGGCAGTTGCATGGAGACATGGGACAAGGTCAGACAGCAGCAGTTCTGGTGGAGGGCTGGTATGTCTGGAGCACGTTCTAATGTTGGAAAAAAAAAAGAAAAAGAAAAAGAAAAGAAAGATGGGGCCAGATAATGTAAAGAAATTCCTCAGCTTCTGGCTTAGGGTAGAGAAATTGGGGTCCAGCCCAACTCTGGTGTTCATGACTTGGGTAGGCATAGGCCAGTTCTTTCACTTCAAAGTTTTCAGTGTCCATACTGAAAAATATGGACTTGAAGGAGCCCAATGCATCAGGCTGAAAACGATGATCACAGACAGCATTGGTGGCACACATCAGCCACTATATGTAATGTTAAGTCTGGAGTCCTGTATAGACTTTTAAGCCAAGCACAGGACCCTGCACATTGACCCTGTGTCCATGAGAGTGTTCTCTTAATAATTACACAGTGATGTCCAGACTCTGGCCAGGAAGGAGCAAGGACTTTAGAGACTTCCAAGAATTCTTCTGAGTTCATGGCCAGCATCCATGACAGAATGTCTACAATCCAGAGGCCCTCAGGTTTCTCCTGCAGGCCCCAGCAACCATGCTGGTTGGGCTGAGTTCACTGGTGCAGGTCCTTGTAGTAACAGAGGAGGAGACACAATGCTTGTTCCTGAGAGGGGGCTTCAAGGCTGCAGAGCAGTTCCATGACAGTCTACAGCAACCTAGAGTCCCCAGCCTTTGGGGACAGTGACTCAGAGTCCCCTGCC